GATTTTGGGACGACATGAGGGCGAGTAATTGATGACAGAATTTTCATTTTTGCGTGAACTATCCCTTTAAGGACATTGGTGTAACCCTTGATGCTGGTTTAGAATCTCATTCCCAAAAGCATACTCACCATTATGACGGGTTTCTTCCCGTAGTAAACGGTGTGGTCATTGACCATGCTGACGATAGCCACGCCGAGATTGCAGCGGATGCCGAAGGAGATGCAAAAACCGAGACCAGAGAGAATGGCGATAATGTAGCGGCGTGGCAACCCGAAGCATGTGCAGTCCACGACGGGCAGCTCCTTCTCTTCCACAATCTCCGGCCTTCCCTCTGCTGACAACTCGATAGTCTCGCCATTCTCTTGACGCTTCTCGAGAATCCTAGAGGTAAAACGAGAACGCATATGGAAGTTCCTCTTTAATCAAGGGATCCTGACACAGTGAACTTCAAATTTCTGTCTCAGAGACAGATATCTTTGCAAAATTGTAATAATTTTTTTTTTCTCCAGCGAACAGGTATTTGTGTTGAGCCAATGATCTATCCATCCATTTTCCATACTGCTTATCCTACACAGGGGAGCCTGGAGCCTATCCCAGGGAACTCGGGGAACAAGGCAGGGGACACCCTGGAAGGTGTGCCAAGCCATCACAGGGCACAATCCCACACACATTCACACACTACAGACAATTTGGATATGCCAGTCAGCCTACAATCATGCCTTTGGACTGGTGGAGGAAGCCAGAGTACCTGCAAGAAACCCCCGAAGCACAAGCAGAACATGCAAACTATCCACACAAGGTGGAGGTGGGGTTCAAACCCCCAATCCCAGAGGTACAAGACAAATATGCTAACCAATCATGAACAATACTTCTTTAAGATGTACTCTAAAGGATACACTCCGTACCTGTAGTATGTACTCTATCCTTTAACCTGGGAAACTTGTTAAAGTGTACTTTCACAAATCATTCAAGGTACAACACTGGAATGTATGTACCTTAAATGTTACTTTTTACAGTATACTTTCACAACTACAGAGTTGTGACAGATTTGCAAACGTTTGCTTAATTTTGTTTAGTTTTCCTTTGTACACATGCATATGTGGGTAAAAGCCAATCACAGCAAAGTTGATCTACATTTAGTGAAAAACTCCATAAAAGGCAAAGTTCACAGAGCTGAAAGCAACAAAATGAAAGCTAAATGTTGAAAGGATGCCCCCTAGGATTGACCTGCGGTAAATCAGCTACCACAGACACACAATAACAAACTAATGCTAACTAACTTAACTAACTTATAGGGTGCCATTACCACAGATTTGTTTTGGATTGCTTTCTTTCAAGTCATTAATATGAAATGACTGAGTTTAACAAAATGTTCGCATTAATTATGTGTGCAGTTGAAATAAACAAGCTGTTTTTTAATAAATATTTATATGTAAAATTGCAGTAACTCAAGTACGATCTGAAGCCTATAAATCATGACTACCGAGTCTTATTATACATGAATTTACACACTCAGGATACGAATGCTTTTCGGAACTAACCGGAATACTACAATTCTTGTGAAATTGATCCAGTCAAGAGTTTTACGAATAAATTTGTATCCAGTTTTGAAATTTTAAGGAACAATAATATACCTGTACGGTACTGTTTCTGCAATTTATCATGTGACTGACCATTCACATTTCTTCAGAATTATATCCTGATTTAAACGTTATCATTTGTGACCCATAAAATGGTCAACAAAACCGTTGTCATTTTTCATCCATAAGCTTGAAACTGTATATGAGGATAAGAGTAAGGCCAACGCTACAGTTGACCAGAGCTTTATAAGTGAAGGATTAATACATGCTTATCATATCAATATACGCTTCTTCAGACAGACATCACACTAGTGTTTGGCTATTTCAATCACTGTGTGTTAGTAAGTGCCATATTTAAACCCTCACACCACATCAGACAGGCGTTAACACACCTGCAGGTGAGAGAGAGAGAGTGTGAGAGAGAGAGAGAGAGAGAGAGAGAGAGGAGAACATAAAGGGGACGTCTCAGTTGATATCCGAACATGGGCGTTAAGCAGAGGCCTGAAGAGAGACCATCTGGGTATTGCAACCTGCCCTACCACACACACATACACCCACGCACGCACACACAGCCAATGCACAGGTAATTCTGGTGTATAGAAAACGAGTCTGTGAAAGTATTTCTGAGTCATATACCACAGCAACGTCATTACATTTTGTAGTCATGATATAGCACTAGATAAAGATACTTAAACAAATGTACACATAATTTATCCATTATTCTCTCTCATTATTCCACCACTCTTTCTGTCTGTCTCTGTCTCTCACTCTCTCTCTCTCTCCCGCTTACTCTCTCTCTCTGTCTCTCTCTAACTCTCTCACTCTCTCACTCTCTCTCTGACTCTTTCTCTGTCTCTCTCTGACTGTCTCTGTCTACCTCTCTCTCTGCCTCTCTCACTCTCACTCTCTCTCTCATCCTCTCCCTGACTCTCTCACTCTGACTTGCACTCTCTCTCTCATCCTCTCCCTGACTCTCTCACTCTGACTCTCTCTCTCACTCTCTGTCTCTCTCTTTCTGACTCTCTCTGACTCTCTACTCTGTCTCTCTCTGACTGTCTCTGTCTCCCTCTCTCTCTGCCTCGCTCACTTTCACTCTCTCTCTCTCATCCTCTCCCTGACTCTCTCACTCTGACTCTCTCACTCACTCTCTGTCTCTCTCTTTCTGACTCTCTCACTCTCTCTCTCTGTGTCTCTCTCTGACTCTCTCTCATTCTCTCACTCTCTGCCTCTCTCTGACTCACGCTCTCTCTCTCTCTCTCTGCCTCTTCATAATCACAACACCACAATTGGAGTCATGTAGACGTGTGTGTGTGTGTGTGTGTGTGTACTTCCAACAGAAATCTCCAATTGCATTTATTTGTGTTCCGCAATAGTTGTAAGAGGACAAAAGCACATCCTTGATGATCAGTGCGGGATAAAAGGCTTAAAACCTCTCTCGCCCACAACTTCAGCCCACTTCAGCCCACTTCCCCCATCGTGGCAGCAGATAATCCGTAACTCCACCCTCAGATTAGGATTATTGAAATTCCTCACTTCCGGAAATGAGAGGAAGGATCACCGAGATCCTGATCCTGTTTTTGCCTTAAAAAAAAAATTCTTACAACTATTTCCGTTAAGTGAATGAATCATGGAAGAAAGTGTTAATTAAGACTAAACCTATCTGAAGACAGATTGTAAAACAAATACAGCATATGTCCTGCTAATAGGAATGGCTGCTAGCTGCAATTAGCACTAACTGAACAACATATTGTGTGTGTGCGTGTGTGTATGTGTGTGTGTGTGTATGATGTGTGTGTTGGGAGACGAGATATTTGAGGCTGTGCTGTGCATCTGTGTGACTGTGTATCTATGTTTGTACTAAAAATGAGATTTTCCGTTTATAGAGCTTCATTGAAATTCTTTGGGGTAAAAAATTATTAATAAAGTTTCAAATGTGTCACAGTTTGTTGCCCTTACAAGCTTTTTTCCCCTCTAGGCTTCTCAGGTTTGATGACATAGGTGAGAGTCAGTTTTACATACTTTTACAGTGAAGGCAGTAAATTAAGGCGAGGCACATGTAGATATTTAAAGTCATGAGTTATTTACACGTTAGATGCACTTAAAGGAAGTAATGATGCATTTATTATATGTATGATTTATTTATGTATAAGCAGCGTTTCGGGCAGCGTCTGGATAACTAAGCACTTCTGTGAGACTTTATATGCACGGGTCTAATGTTAAGATGGTAGACAGCATTATAGATAGTAGTATTATACACAAACACACACACACACACACATTGTAATTTTCTTCTTCTGCCTTCTCTTAATCTGAAGCCTGAGCAGTGAAATTACATAATCCCACTGTATTCTTTCTCTTTCTCTGACCAATCCATCCTTCCTTCCATCCATCCATCCATCCATCCATTTTATTATTACATTCTAATCTACAGACAACTTCCTCCTTTTGCCTGGGATTGGAACGTTGTGGTCATTTGTAGACGATATTCAAAAAGGTGACAGATTAAACGAGTGCAAATCCACAAATCCGCCCAGTCAGTCTCTCTCTCTCTCTCTCTCTCTCTCTCTCACTGTGTGTGTGTGTGCGTGTGTTTAGGACACCGTGTATTTTAAACCTCCACCCCTGCCTCCAGTGAACAGATTGTGTCTCAGTGGGACTGTGTTACCCAGGGAGAATCTCTCCCATCCTGACACACACACACACACACACACACTAACAACATGACCTTCATAAGCATCAGATAAGAACGATACCCAACATGCAAACTCTCCAAATAAGAATTCATCATGTGTGCATAAATAATCTGCTTAAATGACAGTAGAAATTCCAGGCATCAACTGCAAAATTTTTTTTTAAAATAAAAACAAAAAAACAAAAACAAAAGTAAACTAATGTAATTCCTTGCAATTCTAGCTAGAGTATTTTGCAGTTATCTACCATACTACAATAATAATAATAATAATAATAATAATAATGATAATAACGTGTAAGCATTCAGAGTTGCATGTAATCAAAGTCGATGAGACCAATGTGAGGGATGGAGAGACACGTTGTGTGTTTGTGTGTGAGATAGAGGGATGAGTTGAGTAAAAAAGAGATGTAAAGACATTGAAGGTGTGAAGGGTTTATGGTTGCTGAATCTGAGAGTGAGACTGAGGGACTGGGAGGCTGTAACAGTAGGAGCGGGAGAGCCTTTAAATGATTAATCAGGTGCTGACTATTCTACTGTTCATAATACAGCTTCATCCTGAACACTCTCTCTCTCCTTCTCTCTCTCCCTCACTCTGTCGTTCTCGCTCTCTCAGCACTTTCTTTCCTTAGCTACACCCATATAGACACTTTCTATGTCTCACATACGCACGCATGACGTCATAAAAACAAAAACTCTAAAATTATTATATTACAGTTGATTCAGTCAGGGGCACGGGGGCTTAGTGGTTAGCATGTTTGCCTTACACCAAGGTTGGGGGTTTGAATCCCGCCTCCGTGCTATGTGCTTCGGGGGTTTCCTCCGGGTAGTGTGGTTTCCTCCCCCAGTCCAAATTCATTCGTTGTAGGTCGATTGGCATTTTCAAATTTTCCATAGTGTGTGACTGTGCCCTGTGATGGCTTGGCACCCCGTCCAGGGTGTGGCACAAGGCGGGGGACAAGTTCCCTGGGATAGGCACCAGGATCCCCCGTGCCCCGTGTAGGATAAGCGGTACAGAAAATGGATGGACAGAATTCATTCACTCATCTTCAGAAACCACGTCCCAGGAAGTCAGGGCAAGGGGCAATTTAGAATAGCCAATCCATTTATATGGTTTCAGGGTTGGGAGTATACCGGAGAACTCTGAGGAAATCCACACGGAGACAGGAAGGACAAAGACAGAGACAGAAACTCCACACAGTAATACGCCAAGCTCAAGATGGAACCAGGAACCTGAAGCTAGGAGGCGGCGACGTGACCTTCTGCACCTCCATGAACGCCTTGTCTTAATTACATATCATCCCTGTTCACTTTTGGACATGTCTAGCACATCATATTGAATTGAATATTAGTACAATTATTCTAATTAGACAATTTTTTTTACTTATACAAACATTTATGCAAATATAGGCTTTATGGTCCTTTGTCATTTGTTCGATTTTTGCAGTGTAGAACCATTCAGATTTACAGAAACAGCCATAACAATCAGCACCTCAGCATGGGTCAGATTATACAGCAAAGCAAGACTCAGTGTATGCATCTGTGTGTGTGTGTGTGTGTTACACAGTATGTAATCACACCTCCAAAGCTGTAACATGCAGAAGCATGTGTGATTTATCAGTGCAAGACTGTAAAAATCCACATAATAATAATAAAAAAAATCAAACATTTTCACCTTTTTACCTAAAGATCATCTCCAGTGGCATGTATTCCTGTTGTCACATCCCCCCTTCATAAAATTCCTTTTGTGTCACCGGCCACGGGACACCCTGACGTAATCCCCCCCACAGATTGTCTCTGTACGATAGAGCACTTACTTGCCAAGGCATGGTAGTGCTGTTCATTTTGGTTCTTGCCAGAGAACGATCTACTTATTTTACACAGCAGATTTCTAGCTAGAAACACACGTAGGTACGGACAAACGTTCTGCAAAGGATGACATCCTGTCATTCGAATTTTCCAAAAGGAGATGACACTAGAAGGACTGATATGGAGGATGCTCAACACGACTGCTCATTTTCTTGGCCGCCACATAAGTGTGAAAATCACAAGTCTCGATCACGAAATCTAGTGAAATGAGAGGTTTTTTTCCCTCGGAGAGTATACGTGTGAATTCAGACCAAAAAAACCCCCACACTTTAGAATTTCAAAGGGTTTTGAAATTCTGTTTTGAAATTGCAATTGTGTTACGTGTGCTACAGTGAAAACGGGACTGTCTAATCCCAGGTCTTGCGGGATTACAGAGTTGGCAAGTGTGATGTGTGTGCTTCAGTGAGAGGAAGTGACGGAGATGTGATGGCAAGGACAAGGGATTTGCGTGGCCAACAGCTGGACTTGTGTGTATTAATGCTGAGCTATTTTTGGATGGGATTTAAAGTCTAGTTGCTATCAGAAATCTCACCACAATATAACCGGGAAAAACTCCCAAAACATTTAGGCTATACCTTAATCTTTCATAGTTTGTATGTCTCCTCACGACATATACAATTTGCAGCATTAAGAATGTGTTTTATTATTTAAATTTTAAATATATCCTGCAGACAGAAACAAGGTTAGAGTGAATAGTTTACTGGACTCTCGGATATTTCTGACTTGGAAATCTGAAACATTTAACGTGCAGTTTGTAGCACGTTTAGGACAGTAAAAGTCAAGAAAGCAGGACATAATGGAGGTGATGTCCCAGATGCTGGTAGAACAAGATACAAAAACTTCACAAGACTACATAGAAAACCATTATAGGGAACACGAGTTGTAATTAAAGTAGACAAATTCGTACGCTACGTTACGTTACGTTACACGACTTTTGAAAAGTAGCCACGTTAACACACGTAACCTTAGCAAACTCACTATCCACACTATTATTTGACGTGAATCAAAAGACAAATCTAAGGACAATCGAGTAAGTGAGGTAACTACAAACCGAACACATCACTATATGAGCGAATCCACGAAATGATTAAATCACTGATATCCGAAGAACCAAAAATAAAATGTATACGTTAAGATGTTAAGAAGTCTTGCGAAAACGTGCGAGATTTAGGTTCAGAATTCGATTTAATATGCCTTGGACATTTTAGTTCTGTTCTATGGATTAGCCTGTACAAAAAGTCATTTAAACATACATTTAGTCATGTGTTTACGATTTAATCGCAGAAACGTGTACCAAAAATCGCATACTATTGCAGCATTCTACATTGTTTGATTGTATACATGTTTCTAGCACCAGAACTATATAACACTGAGCTGCTTTATTTTTCTGCTAAATAAATCTGACTGTAGTAGCAGCTCCTACACGTTTACGGTCACGTTCAGAGGTGCTTTATCAATAGTAGCTCAAAGTATCAACATTAACTTGGGCGACACCAGGTCAAGCGTGGGCTTAATTGTATCCTCCTGGACAATCCTGAAGGATTACATAACAACAGTTCTGTCTGAAACTCCATTGATCCTGACACAAATCTTTTACCTAACATTCACCTCCAAACACATACATGGATAGGTGGAAGAATGGATGGATGGAAGGAGACAGGAGTTAAATGGGTATTTAGAATGGAGACGATTATTGGTAGCAACAATGTGGGAACACTACAGATCAAATATTGTGTTATTATAATGATCTCTTGACCTTGACACTAATGAATTGTGAATAAAACTTTGTTTAACTGCTGGCTAGACCATCCACAATGCTTATCCTACACACGGTCACAGGGGAGCCTAAAGCTTATCCAAGGAAACTCTGGGCACAAGGCTGGGGTCATCCTGGACGGGCACCCATTGCAACCCATTGCAGGGCACAATCGCACACACACTCAGCCTACAATGGATGTTTTTGAGCTGAGGGAGGAAACTGCAGTACCTGGAGGAAAACCTGAAGCACAGTGAGAACATGCAAGCTCCACACAGGACGGAGGTGGGATTCGAACCACCGAGCCCGAAAGTGCAAAGCAAACGTACAGCATAGATACAATATACAGCAAAGCCTTAAAATTACACAGATACAGGTCAAGAGCTTCAGTTAGTGTTTAACATCAGACAGGGGGGTAACTGTGATTTCAGTGAGTTTGACCATGGCATGGTTGAGTATTTCAGAACTGCTGATCTTCTGGGATGTTCACACTCATGATAATTTAGAGTTTACACTGGATGGTGCGAAAAACAAAAAAAACATCCATGAGCGGCAGTTCTGAGTGCTTTGAGACAATGTCTATTATAAAAAGCGCTATACAAATAAAATTGAATTGAAATTGAGTGCAGAAATGCCATGTTGATGAGTGTTCATAGGAGAATGGCCAGACTGGGTTGGGGTTACAGGAATGCTACAGTGACTCACACAACCAACGCTTTATGACCACGGTGAGCAGAAAAGCATCTCAGACTGCACAACACATTGAAACTTGAGGTAGATGGACTACAACAGCACAAGACAACACTGGGCTTCACTCCTGTCAGCCATGAACAGGAACCTGAGACTACAGTGGGCACCGGAACTTGACAGTTCAAGACTGGAAAAGTCTCAGACCATTGCTTGGTCTTTTTTTTAACAATCTTCAACTGTCCAGTTTCAAAGTCTATGCCCAGCGTAGCCTCAGATTCCTGCACTAAAGTGGCTGGAGAGTGTATACACAGTAATGAAACCATTATAGCATACTATAATTATAATCATTATGAAACACACACTCAGTACCAAAGGGTTTGTCAAGGGTTTTCAAAGGATAAGCGTTCTTAGTCTTTACTGGGAACCCCATCTCATAAGGAAGCACTGTTGAGGGTTTCTACATAAGAACAATTTAAGATTCACCAGAGGAATACATAACTAAATATGTATCCAAGAGTTTTACATTTTCTAAGAGCATGCATTTCCATCAAATTACATCAAAGCAGTCAGGTACAATCCCTCCCCCAATTTAACCCCACCATAGATAGATAGATAGATAGATAGATAGATAGATAGATAGATAGATAGATAGATAGATAGATAGATAGATAGATAGATAGATAGATAGATAGATAGATAGATAGATAGATAGATAGATAGACAGATAACTAGACAGATAGACAGATAGATAGATAGATAGATAGATAGATAGATAGATAGATAGATAGATAGATAGATAGATAGATAGATAGATAGATAGATAGACAGATAGACAGATAGATAGATAGATAGATAGACAGACAGACAGACAGACAGACAGACAGACAGACAGACAGACAGACAGACAGACAGACAGACAGATAGATAGATAGATAGATAGATAGATAGATAGATAGATAGATAGATAGATAGATAGATAGATAGATAGATAGATAGACATAAATAGATGTATAGACAGACAGACAGACAGACAGATAGATGTATAGACAGATAAATAGACAGATAGACAGATAGATAGATAGATAGATAGATAGATAGATAGATAGATAGATAGACAGACAGACAGACAGACAGACAGACAGACAGACAGACAGACAGACAGACAGACAGATAGATAGATAGATAGATAGATAGATAGATAGATAGATAGATAGATAGACATAAATAGATGTATAGACAGACAGACAGACAGATAGATGTATAGACAGATAAATAGACAGATAGATAGATAGATAGATAGATAGATAGATAGATAGATAGATAGATAGATAGATAGATAGATAGATAGATAGATAGATAGATAGATAGATGTGAGTAAGAAACTACTTAAAATACTCACTACTTCAAATAGTTTTAGTGGAATTGACGGAGCAGTCAGTTCACTTGGCTACAGTAACCATGACGTTAATAACCTCTCAGTCTGGACTA